ATTAAATAACTTTTAAAAATATTTTTGCAAAAATTTCTAACATAAAGTCTGATAAGCATATTTTATCCATTAATTTACTATTTGATTAATAAATCAAATAGTGATATGATTGATAAAAAAAAGTTGATAACATTATGTTATAATATATTACAACATGATATTATCATCATCTTATTATTTATTTATTTAAGAATCTTTGTTTCCTTCATACTCATCAAAATCATTTTCACTACTAGAATTATCATCGAAGTTTTTATTAATGATGTTTGTATATAAGATTAATAGTTTTCTTACATCATTTTGTTTTTTTTTATTTTTAAATTCTCTTTTTCTTACATCAGATAGCATTTTGTTTTTTTTTATTTTTAAATTCTCTTTTTCTTACATCAGATAGCATTTTTTTTTTTTTTTTTTTTTAAATTCTCTTTTATAATCTTAATGAATTGGATCTGATTTTTAAACTTTCTTTAGAGTCCACCGACAATTAATCACTTTGTATGCTCTTGGAATAGAAGAGTGAACACTGATATGCCTGTAAACCAGATTTTTTCAGCAAATGGTCAGCCATTTTAAAATGGTTTTATCTCATATTTAAATTTAATTGGCTGGTTCAATTAATTTTAAATTATTTGTCGATCAAAGCAATCGGATAAGTAAAACAAACGATCAATTGAAAAGCAACTGCAACTGACGATATTGTTATGCAGTATTTTTAGTCTTTTTTATCTATTGCTTAATACTGATTTTTTAATTCAACTGTATATATTGTAATCAGTGTCATGTATAGAAGTATCACAAGCTCTCAAGCCAACTTGCTTGACACTGGCTAGAGATTATCTAGCGTTGCAGCGACTGTTTAGCTATTTTTTTCATATTTATTGTTCTTTTTCAATTTTCTTTGCAAAAAAAATTTTTTTTTTACAATTAATTAATAAGGAGATTGTAACTAATATATGAACAAAGCGATGTTGATACAATATGCCGATAGCTAAATGTTGTAGATTTGCAATAATCGGTTTAAATTACGACATATCGTACCTTCAAATCTAACAAAATCATTTTTATACAATTACAATTACGTTTTAGTATAATTAAATTATAATGACATCGTTTTTATATAATTAAGATATAAAATATAACTTTTTTGGGGGTGTTTTATCGCTAACCAGAATAAAGCAAGTGAACTAAACGGCTATTTTTATTGCTACAAGTGTTAACTTAGGTGATTTTGCACCGGGCAAGGACCCTACTAAATTTACAAGTTGCAATTATATGTTAATTAATTTTCTTGTATTAACCTATAGTTTTACATTTATTTTTTTCTGTCCAATTTTGTCAGTGATGTAATAAAAAAGAATTTTTAAAAATATTCTTTTTTATTACATCACTGACAAATTTAATAATTAATTTTTACTTTTATTGATTACTTTTATTTATTATTAATATTGTTAGTATTTTATAAATTTTTACGAATCCATTTCAAATTATAACTCGTTCAAAATTAAGTTATATTTTCGGAGATATTTTACGGACTGCTGGAAATTCTTTTGTTAAAGTATTTTTTCTTTTATTTCTTTGTATAAATTGTTACATAGTTTATAAACCTATGAAAATAAATATGAAGTTTAAAATAGACAATTTTAAATCGCGTTCTTCAATCTTTGTGTAAAGATCAGTTTCAAAATGAAGAATAATGCTCCATACTTAGCATTGAATAATCCTCAATACGATGTTGATTGATTTTTTTGAAAAAGCATTATAACTTCTTACTCACAATTTTATTAAATGTGCAGAATTTCGTCGGAAAAATCTAATAACCCCCAAAAATATGTTTAGGGTTTTTAGGGACAACAAAAAAATGTGGCAAAGCAATTTTTCAAAACAATGTAATACTTTTAAGGATTCGTTTTATATTATGAAACTCTATGTATAGCATTAAAAATTTCTAGAATAGCATATCAAGGACACTTGACATAATTGCATTTATGTTTTTAGACCTTAATGTGAAAATTGATTTTGCGAACACGCCTATTATATAATCACATTTGACCTCGTCGTTTATTAATTAATAAAATCAGCAAGGATATTTTATAAGTACTTGGACATAATAACACAAATACATATTTTATAAGTACTTAGATAAATACTCGTTTATTTGGTAGCAGAGCAAAAAATATACGATAAGATAAAAAGTAAGTATAGTGTTGGTTTCACATCAAGATTTTAAAAATCAATTAGTTTTAAATATTTCTATAATAAAATACAACAACTATTAGTTGTAAAAAAAATATTAAATATTTTTTTTTTACTTTAATAACTTGTAAAATAATTTATGTTTAAAGTTTTGAATAGAAAAGAGAAACAATATACGCTTTTGAAGCATTTTTATGAATAATACTTTTAAATAAACCTAGGTTCATAAAAATTTTTTATAAGTATTTTATAATTATAAAAACGTGCTTTTGAATTATCTTTAACCTAGGGGTCGTCCATAAAGTACATACTCCAAAAATTTTGAAATCTCATTCCCTCCCTCCCCCTGTTGCCATGCGTACTTCTAAGTCCTTTCTCCCCCCCCCCCCCCCTAAAAAAGTACGTACATTTTTGAAATACCCCCCCCCCTCCCCCCATGAAAAAAAACAAAAAACAAACTTTTTTTCAATTAAAAAGTTTATGAAAAAAAAAAGGTGCAGGAGGTACCTTAGATACTCAAAAGCTCTTTGTTTGGGAACAAGATCCTT